TTGGTGCTTAAAACATTACAGCTTATGTTTACAATCATTGTCCTTCCAGGGAATTTGTAACCTAGTGAATTTTTTTTACCATTTTATTGTACATTTCAAATGAAATTCCTTAAGATGAATAAATTCATTCACTAGAAAAACTTTTTTATCTCTCCTGAAAAGTTTGTTTTTTGACATTTATAACATTATGGCACATTAGAAATAATTCTAATGTGCCTAAATATATCTAAACATATATAGATAAATGACCTAAAATATTGAAACTGAATTTTTAAGGTAACAACTTATTTTTGGATACCTGAACAATTATATATCTATAGTCACATATATTTATATTTTAGCAGTGGCATGCCGTGACATTTGATGATAGGGAAGCTGTGTTTCTGTAAGAAGTCAAGGGCAATCAGTCACTTGTACATCAGTGATGGTCTAAGGTCCATTCGTATCGTTTATTCGATAAGCCAGTAAAAACCGTAGACTTCTCTAAATGTATTTTTAATATCACATTTACATTCTGATTCGCTAGCCATGATATAAGGGCTAAAATTAAAAATAAAATTATAAAAACTTCCTTGGTGAAATAAAATGTGTGGTGGATACCTGGTACCTGGTACAAAATATTCTTCAATTGTATGAATATATTTTAAAAGAAAATTATAATTAAATATAGTTTTGTGAAAAAACGTGCATAAAAATAACAAAATATTCTTTACTTTTTAAATCTTAAAACAATCTACTTACAAGTTAGTCAAATAGCTCCCTATAAGTGGCTAATGGATGGAATCAGAGATGGTCCTGGTAGGAGTGCAGTAGTGCAGTGCTGCATGCACGCGGGCTGCCAAACCCCCAGGGTCAATGTCAAATGCCTCTTTTGTCGCATCACCAGTATATCTCAAAGGACACGACAGGGTTGTTGTAAATTTTAAACGTTTCTCACCATAACTGTAAAAATCTAAATATGTTAAACTTAATAGTCATTTGTTTTCTAACTAGGTTTTAGGACCAGGTGTCCATGGAAATTTCCAAAATTTACAACTTTTCGGTCACTCTTGTTGAACTGAAAAATTTCTGTCTTTATTACATCCAATATTACGAAGAAATCAGTCCCCACTGTACTTGGCTAAGGATTGGTTCAGTTAAGCTTTCAAGTAAAATTCCAGCTCTTTCGGCAGGTTTTATTTATGTCCCTAATTCCATAATCTCTTAATTATTTAACTACTTCTTAAGTATAAATAAGTTGAAACTGGTTACTTTGTACTCGAATATTTGTAGTCTTGGGAAAGAAGTGGAAAGACAAATTTTTATGACAAACGGATACATAAATCGTAAATTTAAGGAAATTAAATTCTAGAGCTTTTTCTGTACCTGGTGCATCTCTCTCATTATTAAATTTAGTTGTAAATGACGCTGTCGAAGTAACGGTTAATTTTTTAACATTATACAAGAATGGTACACGTTTTTTTCTACATCCCCTTAAAGATGGGATATATGAAATCGTAATATCGCTGGTTTAACATTGAAATCCGTGAGTAATATAAAATCAGAGAGCGGAATAAAAATATCAAATATTTTAATGGATTTTTTTAAACTCCTGTCAACTATACAGAACTATCATAAAAACATATCAGTAATTTCTTATCAGTTGGGTTAAGTTATAAATGTACTTGCAATTCACGTAATTGGGCGAGGGCGACCAAATATCTAGCGGGCAGGTGGCTAACAGCCCAGAACTGGTCCTGGATAGAACTGGATGCGTTATACATGTAGCATCCATCCAAGGTCCTAGGCTTCCACCAGCTAAACAGGGTGAGGTTGGTGCTCTTTAAAGCGCATGCACGAATCTGGCTTTTTGGATGCTGACAATACAGTGCTTCCACGCCACCACTAATATTCGAATATATTAATATAATAGCGATCTTATCTTTTTTTCATGTATAGTATAGAAATTTGTAATAAAATACATAATGCGGCTATAATAAAATATTGTGCGATTATTTTCATATAATTAAAATTAATATGTATTTATTTTTTAGAAAATACAAGGGAAGTAGTGCATCCACTTCCAATGACAGCATGCCACTGTATTTTAGTTCAGTCTTTTATAAACATAAAAAGAATTGAGATTAGCATATCTATATCTGGTCATTTACATATATTTCTATTATATATATATCTTAATTCATGAAATTTTAAATATAATATTTAAATATTAATAGAGATATATCCAAAGCTGTTGAGAGCTTTTATGAAATTACAGTAAACCCTTTCCACCCCTTTTACAATTTTTTTTTTGTTTTTTCAATTTACTAAACAAAATGCAGTCACAAGTCCAAGTTTCCTATGGGCCCAGGGAAAAATTCCCAGCTCCCCTTTTGACAGCCCTTCATAAACCTAACAAATACTCCTGTAAATAATCTATATATATATATATATATATGAAAATGTTTGCTTGCTTGCTATGCACTTCTAGTCCATTTCACCAATTGCTATGAAACTCGACAGTTACATTAAAATACTTCTATCTTAGGTAATGTCATATATTCTATTCCAAAATATTGATTGGAATTCTATATATCAATTAATTTCTGTCTACATTAGATTTGCTGGCTTTACATGTGGTGCCATCTGTTGGCAAAACATTTTTTTAAAATAAACTAAATATAAAATATATTCGTTTTTTTAATTATCTCTTTCTTTGTATAAAAGAGATAATTTTAAAAAACAAATATATTCATTTAATTACTGAGAAAATGATATAGCATCAGACTTGCTGTATCATAACAACTGGTAGCAAATAGCACTAACCTGAATGGAGTCAAAAGTGGCAACTGTGAAAACTTTATAAGTATTTAATTTTGCACATCTAACAACTCAGGTTTTTTCATTTCTGAATGTACTTTCTTAATTCTAATAGTGTCCACCAGTGGCCAAGTGGTTAAAACCACTGAACATTGGTAGTTGAATGGGTGTTCAGGTATTGCCAATAGGCTGGCCATTTGGAGTTTTCAGTGTTTGATTCATGTTAGTAACACCCAAATAGAGGCCAGTTTCAAAATATATGAAAAAAATACTCCTGGGAGGCATTCCCTCAGTAGATCAACCATGTATCACCTTGCCATAACCATATAAACCAAACTAATTCTAAAAATTTTCTATAAACTCACTATTTATAATGATATACTTCTCATGTAGTTTATAGGCATTCTGATAATGTTCTTAAAATGGGTAAAACCAGATACATTTTTGAAATTTACAATTAATAACACTGAGTGCAACAGTTACTGCGACAGGTACTTTATAAACCAAGTCAAAGTTATATTATAATTTGTAAAATTACTCCTATGAATTATAGTTAGCATAAAATTAGTAAAAAGCATGTAATCCTAAAGTTATTATTTAATAAAAGTTTACACATTTAGACTCATCACAAACAGAAGCAGATTAAATACACCTCAAAAATATAAAAATACAAAAATTTATCATTGGATATTACTTATCAAATTCAACTATAATTTAAAGTTTTATTATAAAGTTTAAAAATAACCAGAAATAATTGAACAACATTTAATATCTTTTTTTATTATTTTCAAGGTTTATAATGGAGCAGGTTATGCAAATGTTTTAATTTTGTTCTAGCAAATTTTCTACAAAATATATGCCAGTGGGAATTATATACAGCTCAGGTTATCTGACAAAATAACAAATTATAATTTATGGAATTTCATACAATTATTAAATGTTTACTAACATTTAAAAAAAAATTTGCAAATAAAAACTTGAGTAGTTAAATTTAAAAAAAATTGGTTCACATTACAATTATATATAAAATTATGTTCATTTTAAATGAGATAAATTTTATCATCTTCATTTCAATTGTAAGTAGAATCAATTATTTTCCATCTATGAAATAAACATATGATTTTAATATAACAGTAAAATCCTAAAAAGTTCATAACTTATTAATTTGAAGCAAATAAAAAAGTTTTCAATTCTACACATCAATAATGATCTCTATTCTGTCAAAACTGAATCAAGTAAAAAAAAATATAGCATAGTTGAAAACAATAAAATTTAAACTAAAAGGAAAATCTCTATCATACAACTTTTTTCTTTTTATAACTGAGTTTTATATATTGTAAAAATTTAAGTATTATACTTATGCAAACCTATGTTGTAATTTTCTTTACTGTAAATACCATGATAAAGATTAATCATAGTCAATATTCAAAATCAAACTGAGAATTGGTAACAAATATTTAACATAATAATAGCATCAAAAATATTACATTGCAAGTATTATGATTATTGCCATAATGTAATTTCATTAGTGTTATAAATCATAACAAAATATTTATGAAATTTTATATTGATACATTTCATTGTTGTGTTTATGAGTATTTAAAATAACTAAGTATAAATCATATGGATTTCAATTTATTATATGAACAGTTCTTGATACGCGTAATAAAGTAATGAGTTATTTTGTATAGTGTATTACAATAACTTATTAATTCTATAAAAAGTTTAGAAATAATTTTCAGAAGGAAAATAAGTGAATAATTTCAAGAAATTGAATACTAGAATAATAAACTTCTCTACCTGCACTTAAAATCAACAAACAAAAACCCTTTCAGATGCAGTATTTATATTTAAACTTCTAATGTTTCAGTCAGTTGATTGACTTCAGAAAAAACTGAATAATTCCAATTTATAATGACATATTCCAAATAATCCATAAAATACATTTTGTTCATTATAAATTGAAATTATTCAATTTTTCCTGAAGGTGGTCAATCAACTGATTGAAAACATTAGAAGTTTAAATAAAAAGACTGCACCTTAAAGGGTTTTTGTTGTTTGTTTGTTAAAATAATAAAGTTGCTGCTTACTGAAAATCTTAGTCAAATTTGTAACAGAGAGTATGTGTGGATTAAGAAATTAGTGTTTTCAATTTTTCAAAATTACCTCACTAGACATGTAAATAAAGTAGATTTGCTTACCTTTACATCTAGGATTAACACATCGTTGTGCACTATTTAAAAATGTTCTCAGATTAGCTGGTAAATCATGTTGACCATAAGGAATTTTGGAAATTTTGATGCATCTTGCTGCTAATTCTCTCAGAGATGGTGGAGTATAGGTCATGTCTTTCACAAATCTCACAACTAAGGGGTTATCACGCAAACTTAACTAGAAACAGAAAAATTTTTTATTAAAACTTCTAGTAATTTTCAAAAAGTTTATGAAATATTTTTTAAAATGAAAATTTAAATATATCAATTTTATATTTTGTCATCATACATTATAATTAACAAAATTAAACTGGCAATATAATGGATTAGAATGATTATATATNAACAAGGTAAAATATTCTTTTGGCAATATCATTATATGAATAATCATAGGAATAATTAACAAATTGTTGAGAAAACAGTTTAAAATATTTAATGTTTAAAAAACACAAACCTTTTTGTTATGCTAATCAGACATACTATACAATTCACAAAATCATTTCTCAATTCATCCAATACAAATTACTTCACTTAAAGCAAAACTTCTTTTTTAAAAAAAATGTCATTATCTTACAGCCTTTATACCCATCATCAGAAGTTATTTCTCTAGTTGACTCCTGATAATACACAGCCTGAAAGCACTTTAGTTTAAAAATTTTATTCTAGCAGCAGTTTGAACTAAATTTTTTATTATTTATTCTTCCTAAAGCTTTTGGCTAGTACAAATAAATGTTTATTATATTTCTGAAAAAATACTTTATACTATTTATTTAAATATAATCTCTAATATTAGCTATTACTGATTTATTAATTAGGTATATATTAGCTGCCATAACAAATATCAAAGCCTTAAAAATTCCAGCAATTGACGACCAAAATCATTAAAGTTTTATTTCTGGATTTTTAAGGTTTGTTATTTGTAAAAAGTAATTCATACAATATTTCAATTGCCATATTTGTAGATGAACAGTCAGATCATCGTTTGACGCAACTTGCAGGCCAAATTATGTAGTATCATTAGATTAACTATAGCCTAAAAATCTGGCAGATACTTACCAGAAAAGAGTTTTTCTTCACTAATTTCCAATCTCTAGAAGATATTGCTTACCTGCCACTCCAATGCAATTAAACTCATTATTGACTGCAAAAAGTATATTTACCATTCAATAAACTGGTTAATTTTCCACACTGATTCTGTTGAGATAACTGGGTATAGATTGGGAAATCCCAATTTCTTTGGCTGTATAAAATATTTTTTCCCTTTCATAAATATTTTAAAAGATATTGTACCACCAGATGCAGTGGGTCTTCTTATTCTTTCTCTACATCATATTGGTATTAAAACATTCAAAAGGCATTACACAACATTGTTTTATTCACACTACTCACTCAAGGAATGAGTGAAGATGCACTCTACCTAAATTTTACAACTTTTAAGCACCTTTCCAAAGCTTAAAAAATGTAAAAATAAAAAAAATATTAGTGTAAAGTTATGTATGTACAATAAGTTAAAATATTTTTCTTTTTTACTTTATTGGCTTATTGTTTATTTTTAATCAGGTGAATTATTTGGAGATGGTAATTTCATGTTCATTAAAACATCACCAGATGCAAAATTAAAGAATAAAAGAACCTAAAATTTATTTTAAAAATTTATAGATTAAAATGAAATTTAAAAAAATTATTATTAAAATAAATTTTTACATGAATTCTTTAAATAAAAAAAGTGTCCAAATCTCTCATACTTTGCAAACAATACAATTGCATCCACTTACCATCTCACTTTGAAGATACAAATGGATCTTTAAAATATTTAAAATATGAATGTAAACCAGGATCTAAATTGGTGTTATATATATTTATTTACTACTGACTGACACACAAAGATATGTGTATATAATAAATAAATGCTATTATTCATAAGTTTTCTTTCACTTCAATTTTATAATCCTCACCATAAAGCAAAATAAATTATATTCAATAATTTTAAGATAAATCATCATTAATTTCTTACTTATAATGGTACGAACAAAATATTTTAAAATACAGGTAACCCCCGTATAACATGGTAGTTACGTTCCAAAAAATTGCCATGTTATGCGAATCCATGTTATGCAAATCAAAGAACTATTACGAAAAGGAGGGTTAGGTTCCAAAAATTAAAAAACATGTTACTATATTTTCATAATTAAGTTAAATATCTTTATTAAAATTTTCTTAAGTGATACATACTAATATAAATTAAACAATGTTTTCTTTGTCATCACTAAAAGCACTATTAACCGAGAGCGTTTTATTTTTGGCAAGCTATCGTTATCCTCTGAATATTTTTCTGCATTATTTTCAGATTCATGCTTTACCTTTTGCAAAAAGTGTATGTAATTTTAGATTGCTTGCTTCTAGTTAAAAGATCTTTATAAATTTCCTTATATGGTGCTAAGCACTTATGGAATAAGGAAAAAACATCTGGCAACACCAAAAGCAGAAGCGTCAAGATATGGCAAAATTGAAACAATTTTCGCGAAGGACCATGTGTATGGAGAAGAGAAAAGAAAATTTACACACTGAAGTACTAATAGTTCACGAAAATAATAATTTTCGTGAACTATTAGTACTTAAGTATGTAAAAATTTATTACATTTCATGTTGTACGAAGGTTTTACCCATTTCTCAAACCGTGTCAGAGTGGTTCCGTGTTATAAAAGTACCGTGTTATACGGGGGATGGTACCAATTCTTGAACTGTGTTAGAGTGAATCCATGCTATAGAAGTGCCGTGTTATATGGGGGTTACCTGTATTACCAATTATTGCAGAATTTAGAGAGAATTGTTGTTTTTTATTTTCTAATTTTATTTTAAAATTAAAAAACTAATTTTTCTTCTAACTGAAAATGTAGATTTTTTAATTGGTTTTAGTATATAGTATTTTTAAATATTTTGTACTTTTTTTTATGATAGAATGATCAAAAAATATTTTTGTGACTTGGTATACAAAAAGTCAATTTTTTATCAATTAACTGACTAACAGCAGCAACAAGGACTGGATCATTAAAAAAACAAGGTAAAATATTCTTTTGGCAATATCATTATATGAATAATCATAGGAATAATTAACAAATTGTTGAGAAAACAGTTTAAAATATTTAATGTTTAAAAAACACAAACCTTTTTGTTATGCTAATCAGACATACTATACAATTCACAAAATCATTTCTCAATTCATCCAATACAAATTACTTCACTTAAAGCAAAACTTCTTTTTTAAAAAAAATGTCATTATCTTACAGCCTTTATACCCATCATCAGAAGTTATTTCTCTAGTTGACTCCTGATAATACACAGCCTGAAAGCACTTTAGTTTAAAAATTTTATTCTAGCAGCAGTTTGAACTAAATTTTTTATTATTTATTCTTCCTAAAGCTTTTGGCTAGTACAAATAAATGTTTATTATATTTCTGAAAAAATACTTTATACTATTTATTTAAATATACAGTAGAGATCGATTATCCAAATATTGATCAACTGAAACATTGGTTAACCGAAAGCATTCCAGCCGGCAAATTCAAATTTCCGCTAGAGATGTGGCATTGCAGCAATCTTCCCTCCCTGCCAAACTGAACTGTAGGCCTAGTTTAATGTACTACATTATGTAATATTCATTGCTTTTCATCCACCTACTACTTTGAAAATGTTTATTTTCAATCTCAGGCATCAAAACATTACATATTAATTGATGTGAAGAAAATCAGATTTTTTCTAATGAAATTTTATTTTGTTCAGCATTATTTTCCTTTGACTGTGCTTCATCAATTATAACTAATTCAGTCCAAATCAATATCTTCCACCTTCCTTCAATTTAATTTTTTGTGTGAGAATTATAACTGAATATGTTTTAATTAAAAGTTTTATATTTTTTTGTTAATGACACATCTATAACAAGTTATAGAGTGCATACAATAATCAATTACGCTAACAATGGTGTTTGTAAATACACAAATTTAGTTTATGAGCAGATTTTTAGAAAATCTGCTGCTCATAATGTAAATTTGTGTATTCATGCTCATCTACAATCATTCTCAAATTTTTTTTAAAATGTTAACAGACTTTTTAAAGAATAATGTCAATTTGTCAAAAGAAACATTCTTTGGTGGTATTTCTACATATATATTCCATCAAAATGTTTCAAAATTAGAAGTTAAAATATCATTTAAATAATAAACTGAAAAATAATAATGAAATAGGCTGAATAGATAACAATTATTGAAATAGAATGAAGTCTGAATTTTTCATTGTTAAAATATACTGAGTGAATAAATGAAAATAGAACTTGCTAGTAGCAATACAAAGAGTTTGCAAGAGCAAGCAGTAGCATGTAGTAATATGAAGATTCAATGATGTATGTTAGACTTAGCAACATGAGCTTAATATAAGCATGGGGCCAATTCATAGAATAACAAAGTCCTCAAGCTATTTGTTGAGTTTTATTTTAGTTTAGTCATCTAATACAACCACAAACATTTTATTTACCAATATGCTTATAATAAATAATTATCTTTAAAGCCATGGGAGGAAAATTAGATACTTTAACAATATTTGATGATTAGTTAGATTTGTGGGTTTTAGCACTAGGTTTTAGATAGGCCAAAAAGTGACAGGTCTGGCCAGTTATGTCTCTGTATGCCCTTTTGGGTCTTTTAACATGCCATAATCATTCTGTTGTATATACTAGAGTTCTGTATATAAGTTTATTGTTTTCCAAATGCCATTATAAGTTGAACTTATTCATTATCATTTAGTATATTCCATACAGTTTAGTTGTCAGAAAATATCTGTTGTTAAAGATAGTATCCTCAGTAGAAAACAGCCAGTTCTCTGACTGTTTTGTATTGAGGGCATGTTAGTAATATTTGTTGGATTGTAAGTAGGATATGGCAAGTTGAGCATTTTGCTTAAGTATCCCTTGTCATTAGATAGTTATGTGTTAGTCTTATGTGTCAAGTTCTCAGTCAGGCAAGTATTATTACCAGTTTGGTGGAGTTGGTAAACAAATAGTCCAACTCTGACTCCAGAAAATTTGCAACGTATGACTTCAACCTTAATTTTCTTTTAAATAATCATACTATGATTCCTTTTATAAGAAAGACAGCATTGGGTACCCAAATATTTTTATCTAAAATTTCTCTACAAAAAGTTGTACTAAAATTGATGATGAGAATCAAAAAATGGATATAACAAATTTAATTTGGAAAAATGTTCAAGTACATAAAGAAACACACTATCTTAATAGTCAAAAGAATCCCACTTTTATTAGTTAATCATGAAAAGTTGATTTAAATTTAATTATTTTCAATATAAAAAATTAATTATAATAAACGAAAAAATAAGTTAATGAATGACATGATAAATTGGTCTGTAAANTATTGCATTCCATAATTTAGTATTTAATAAATTTATTGTAATTATTTTATTACTTTTTATTCTCCAAATTTATGACAGATTTGTTCTTTGATCTGTAAAATTTTCTTATATACAATTAAAAATTTTGCAAGTTAGAAGAAACACCAAAAAAAAATTAAAAGAATGAGTTTATAATTTCTTTTTCACACACCTTGGGAACTCTATGGAATTTGTAATTGTATATTCATCCTAAATATTTTATTAATGATATATTTTTACATTTTGAATTGCCAGAGAGATGATTTTAACAAGTTTTATTTTTACATATTGAGTATTTGTCTTGTTTATCACTCTGCCCATTTTCAACAGTGAGCCTTTCAGCCTTTTAGATATACTTGAGAAAACTTTTAAATCAGCTGTCTACCTCTTTTTAAGTCTATTGTGTTTCCCCAAAAATAAGACTGGATCTTATATTAATTTTTGCTCCAAAAGACACTTTAGCTCTTATTTTCAAGGGGTGTCTCATCCAAAGACACTCGCTTGGGTATTTACAAATACTTAATTATAATTTATATTATCATTTATTTTAAATGATAACGTTGATAATAATATTTATTTATATTTAATTACACATTAATATTATTTTATAATCATGGGTTGCAATGGACATATTAAATACGACTGTCTGGCTGACAATCTTAACTGGGGTTTATTTTAGGAGTAAGGTTTATATTAGGAATAAGGCTTATATAACATCCTGAAAAATCATGCTAGGGCTTATTTTTCAATTAGATCTTATTTTCAGGAAAATACAGAATTACTTGAAACCAATAGAAGGGCAGTGAAAAAATTAATTAGTCAAATTGATATCCAAAGGAAAACATCCGAGATGTAAAAATATATTGCACTAAATAAAAATTATGGCACCCAAAATGAGAGTCAAATTTTTTCTTGGGAGCTCCCAAAGGAATATATAAGTGTTTACTTTCTAGGCACAATCAAATGACTCGTGTTCAGTGATTTTTATCTACTAAGTCACTGGTGGACCTTAATTAATAAAAGGTATTTTCTGAAAGTATAGAGCATGTCACATGAGATATGCATAACATTTTGCTATGAAATGGCCTTTATGGATTAATATTGTTTTGATATCTAAATTTATCGAAATGTCTGTTTTCTAAGAAATTTCCTTTAGATACTAATTAATTAAAAAGTATTTTTCTTACTTCACATTTTACCAATAGTAAATTTCAAGGTCAGGGTCACTGGATTCAAAAGAATTTTACTGACTCTGACCAAAAACATCCAATTTCAGTGACTCCAACTCCACAACACTGAGCACCAATACTACTACTTTCCAATTTTTCTATTGGCTGGTTATTCATTTTATTAACTCTAGTTTTATTGCATGTAGTTTATTGTTGAACTAACAATATTTGAATTATTTATTTATAATATTTGTATGTATGTTCAATGGTTGGAAGTATAACTATATGAAATAATTTATAAAACTTCATTAATAAATATTTTGCAATAAAATAAAACATATCAATTTAGAATAAATATGTGTATGTATGTATGTATGTATGTGTATTTACATTTAAATAAACATACCTCAATTAATCCTCGTAATGTTACTATTTCAGGTGGAAGAGTAGTTAAAAAGTTTTTATGAAGAGCTAACGAACGAAGACGTCTTAAACATGATATGGTTGAGGGTAAACTTCTTAATTTATTTTCACATAATACTAAAGCTTGTAAATATTGTAATTGGCCTACATCTGCTGGAATTTCTGTTAACTGATTTCCTCCCAGGTATAGAACTTCTAATCTTAAAATAAATAAATAGATAAAAATTAAATATTCTTTTCTTTATAAGATAGAATACATTACAACAATGTTTTAGCTTAATTTTTAATACTTTAAAAGTTAACAAATTACTTGGAAAATTAATATATCAACCATTGATACTTATAACAAAAAAAGTCTTAAATGAAATAAAAAAATTTTATTTAATACTACTTTGTAAAATAAAAATTAAATTAAAAACTCAATTATTAAATTTTGAATTATTAAAAAAGGTTTAAAAACTTAACATTTAACAATAAACTAAATAGTTTAGGACTTTCTCTGACAGCAAAACAAACTTATACATCTTAACTTGTATTTAATTATGTCATTATATATCAGCAACAATTACTAATTTATTTTGTAACACTAATTACTATCCCTATTCTTCTTACATAAATGTAAGAAGAATAGGAAAAAAGTCTGACTCCATCGACTTTTACAATTATTTTGGACTAATTACTATATATATTTAATATAAAGAATGATTTTAAAAATTAAGAAGGTAAAATTAATAATTACAAACATACAATCTATAGAATCATCTATTATCAAAGATACTATAGGTTATTTGTTTGTATAATTCAACTATAAACAAAAATCATTAAAAATATATTACTAGTATAGTTGAAATTCATAACTTAATGATAATTAATACAAAACAGAAGTTTAATTAAATCAGGAAAATATTACATGGATTAAAGTTATCATTGGAAGATTATGAATTTTGATTATTATGATCCTGAAGAAGGTAAATGTTATAAATTTTGAGCTGATTCATCTCACGTGTATTCATACCTGAAGATAGCATTTCTAACCTTCACACTGTTAAAAAGTGTATTGGATCCTTCATTAATTAATGATAAATAAACACCTCATAAAATTAGATAAAATTCAAATTGACACAAACATTAAAAAACAATCCAGCATGTTCATAAAAACATTAGTTTATCTAACTATCCTAAACAGTTAACAGATTTAATTTAAATTCAAACAGTGATTATAACTTGTACATATTTTTTTAAAAACAAACAAGAACATTGATATGATTGGCTGCAACATTATGCATGATAAAAATTGAAAAAGCATAGGAAAATCAATGACATAAATAATATTTTTTGAACCAATACATATGCTGCAAGAGATGATGAAATCTCAAGATACTTCATATAAGGACTTCCAAGTGGGGTGGATTGTCTACATCAGGAGTGGCCAACCTTTTCAGAAGGCGGGCCAAATTTCAGAAATAATATTTTCTGCCGGGCCACGCAACTAATTTTTTATTTATTTTTTAATTAAAGTAAACAAGCAAGCGTGCTACAGCTTCAACCACATCGTCGCTTCCCAGTAGGTGATATCGTGGTCAAACACTTGCCTGGTTTAATGTAAAAAAACACAAAAAATAGGTATATTTATTTTTTGAAGAAAATAAAATATAACCGAGAATCAAACATATTTATTAGACAATTTAAAAATATTTAAAAGTGAGACATCTGACTTTGTTTTACAGAACTAAGTGCATCAAAATTGATCTCCACTGATGTTGTTGCTACACGCAAACAGTTTTCCAAATGAACATCAGTAATTCGATCTCACTTGTGATTTGATGTACTTCATGCGACTAAAAAGCTGTTCACACGCATAAGTGTTTCCACATAGCGAAACCATCGACAGAACATATTTGTAAAATGCAGGATATTTATCCTTGTCCAAATACGTTTCATAGAACTCTTCCAAATCAACTTGATGGAATTTCTCCAACGTTTTAGGGTTTACTTACTTATAGAATCGATTTGGTAGACAGGCTACTTGGTTAAAGTAGTTTGAACTGTAATTATAAATATGTTAAATATGTATTGTAACGTCGATTGCAAAATCTCTCCAGATGCATTGGCGATAATAAAACGAAACTACAGAATAACACGGAACTTTGTCAAGCTGCACTGAAAGTAGTTATGAGTATGAGCCCGATAGCATTGCGAGCTTCCCGAAAACGCCGAAGACCACAGAACATATATAGCTGAAGTTGAAGTCTCATATTAAATTTTATCAACACCTAGCGTAGGACAAAAAACTAAGTAACCTCGAGTGTCAAATAGCGGGATATTTGAAATAGCTAAAAATCTATGAATTTTTTTCAAAAATGAGAGATATTTCAAATTTCTCTTAGCTATAATTTAAAAATACATGATACGAATAACTCATGACGTAATGTTCTTTTGGTGATATGTACAATAAAGTTAACATTTACGTTCATTTGACCTAGCTCCGCGGGCCGCAACATGACTCCAAGTGGGCCGCATGCGGCCCGCGGGCCTCGTGTTGGCCACCCCTGGTCTACATCCTTATAATCAATGGCCATCAATCTTCTGATTTGTATATTTCCAATTTTTCAAGATGTTTAAGACAGTCAAATTCCCATGTTGGTTGTAAGATGGTAGCTTCATTTAGATCGATCTGAGCATCATTCTCCATTGTAAAGGTCAATGTATAGTACAGTACATCAATTTTTCTATTCTTTTTCAAGTTTTTGTTACATTGACATTGCAATCAATCTTATGAATGCTTTTTGTTTAAAAAATTTGTTCTAATTATGGCTACTGTTTGAAATTTTAAACCTGATGTTGACTATTTAAGATGGTTGAAAAGTGTCAGTTTGTCTATTAAAAGATGTTTGTTGAATTATATTAAATGTATAATTTGTTGAATTTGTTGAATTATATTAAATTCAACAAATACAATATGTTATAAACAAACATCAATATATAATTAATAAAGATGCCTAAGTAAAGATATGCTACACTGAATAATATAGGAAAATTAATTAAGAAATTTTAGAGACATTATATTAAATCATACTTTATCATGTGCAACATTCACATCTTTTTGTATTATTTAATTAAAGTGCCATATTTAAAAGCAAATATTTTAATTTCTATTATATGTTTGTTTGTTAAGTTATGGCAATGCAGCACTTGGGTGATCTGCCAAGGGGGGGATGCCTTCTGGGAGGTCTTTTTCAGGGAAACTGGCCCCTGTTTAGGCATTACAGACATGAAGAAAACCCAGAAAACTCCACATGGCCAGCCCGTCCAAGAAAGGCAAACCCATGATCGAACTCCCAGTGTTAAGGGTACGAAGATCACTTGGCCACTGGTGGGCCTTTTTATTATATAAAAACAGAAATAACAATTAAAATATATAGAATTGTTAATATATATACTGTATATATAAAATCTTGAGTATATATACAGGGGAAGTTTTTTCAAGCTCCAAAGATCCATTAGAAAAAAGACAAGTTGTAAATAACAAATTGAATTTATTATCAAGTTAGGTACAAACATGGTTACTTTTTGACATAATCTGTGAAGATTGAGGAATTTGTCATATCTATGGACAAGCATAAAATTTTGCCGCCAGTGAATTGAGATGGCCTTAACAATATTGTTTTGAAGATCAACATTAGTCTCAAACCTCTGCCCTGCTAGCCACGTTTCTGTTCAGGAAAGAGGTGGAAGTCTTCACACATTAAAAAGTTTTAAGCTGGGTGGAAGTCTGAAAGGTGGAAGTCTTCACCACCTTTAAACACCCAGTGTATAGTCCTGATTTAGACTGGAACTTAAAAATAAAACAGCCTACATATATAAACAAACTCAAAATAAAAAGTTATGCACTTTATTATAGCAAATACATGAAATATTTAAAACTTCAAAAAGTACTGTACTCACACAGTGGGTGATCAATTAATGAACAAATCAGATAATGAATACTTTCGTGAAAGATTTTTATGTTTGGACAACGAACATATGTTCAGATAATGAACACCTCACAGAACAAACACAAAAAGAAGTGATGTAAAATAATGAATAACAATTGGTCTTCCCTTGTCTTCAGGCAACAATTCAAAACTTTTCAGAGCACAGGAGATGTCAAAATCGAAGTCAACCTGGTATATACTGATTGGATATTATTCCTCTGAAGTTTGAAACTCCCCCTTGTAATTCCAGTGGGCACTTGTTAAGTTTTGCATGGGTTTTAATTTTCAAAAGGTGAGAGTATAATAGCAAAGGTAGAGAGTGGGCAGAAGATGTTTGATGTTGCTGGGCAGCGTGGCTCAAACAGGTCTACAGTAGGCCACAGTTCAACCTTATCTAAGAAAGATACTGAATAATCAAGAAGACTCAAGCAGCTTAAGGAGTAACAAAAATCACATCTGAGAAATAAAGAACATCAAAGAGCTCATAATAGAACCTGAAATGGATCTGACGACAGAAGCTCTTGCCAAGAACTCTTGAATGAAGAACACCAAGAAACTTGGTGACATGTTTTCTTCTGAAAAAGAGGATTAATGCCAACATCTACTATTAAACATCTTTTGAAGTAGAAGGCTACCAGAACAACAGTCTTAGAATGGCATCCAAACCAGGTTGAGGCTTGGGGATTTCTACAATTGCAATGCTATTAATTACTTACGAAAAATCCTAAAGAAGGGAGAAAATCAATCAACATTAGACAGATTCTTTAACCCCACAAACAGAAAAAACATGACTAATAAAAATGCAANGGGCCGCATGCGGCCCGCGGGCCTCGTGTTGGCCACCCCTGGTCTACATCCTTATAATCAATGGCCATCAATCTTCTGATTTGTATATTTCCAATTTTTCAAGATGTTTAAGACAGTCAAATTCCCATGTTGGTTGTAAGATGGTAGCTTCATTTAGATCGATCTGAGCATCATTCTCCATTGTAAAGGTCAATGTATAGTACAGTACATCAATTTTTCTATTCTTTTTCAAGTTTTTGTTACATTGACATTGCAATCAATCTTATGAATGCTTTTTGTTTAAAAAATTTGTTCTAATTATGGCTACTGTTTGAAATTTTAAACCTGATGTTGACTATTTAAGATGGTTGAAAAGTGTCAGTTTGTCTATTAAAAGATGTTTGTTGAATTATATTAAATGTATAATTTGTTGAATTTGT